GCTATTTTTTTGGTTGCAGTCATCATTGTTGTTTTGGCGGGTCCGGGCTGGGGATTCGAACCCGCCACCTTAGGTGTACGTGGCTGACGCCTTAGCCGGTTGAGCTATAGGTGCCGAGCCATAGACCCCACTTTTAAAAACTAAGAACTAAGATGTAAACAGATGATCATTGGAGGAAGTATTTTACATTTTAACAAGAATCAAAGATTGACACTGAAAGATTTGAATTCTAAGGTTTAACTTTGGGCTTTCATGGCTGTTTGAAATTGGGTAGGAAATAAGAAAGTGTAAGAAGAGATCATTGGTGAATTGGAGATCGTGGCACCCACCCCCTAACACTTCCCTAAAGGAAAATTCTGGAAATATCCTGAATTTCTACCTCTTATTCACGCTCCACATTCTATCTGTTACTGAGTCCTACTTTTTTTTTATCCTAAGCATGTCTTGAATTTACTAGTACATGCCTTTGACGTTTGTTTAACCAAACCCACCCCCTACTGCATACCCTCTGATTATATAGCATTTATCTAGTGTATCATATAATTTAATTAAATTTTGGGGGGTTTGTCTGTCACTCTCCCCTTCAATATAAACTTTAGTAGAGCAGAACATTTCGTTAATTTTGTTCCCTACCTTATCCCCAGAACAATGCATAGCAGTTGTTTAATAAAACATATAGCAAGTTTCTACATGGTCTTTAAGACCTAGGTCCCCTCTTGCAGAAAGCCTCCCCTGACCACCCTCCATCCTCTAGCCAGCCAGATGAGATGCCTCTTCTGTGTTCTCATATCACCTTGTCTGTTCCCTTAGCACATGGTGTTGTGATTCCTCCTGTTGTAATTAGGTCTTCACCTGAACTGAGAAAAGAACTGTGCCTGCCTTAATTGGTTATTCGCAGAGCCAGCCCAGTGCTTAGCATATGTGTGGTGTCTGTGTTGTTGCTTGGCCTCAAGATAGCATTTCCTCAAGCCAAGATTTTTGCTGAGATGTCTTACAGTAGCTCCTGGGCCAAGGGACAGCATCTAGAGCTTTTTGCCTATCTCTAGGGAAGTTTAGGGTCTGCCAAGAGCCTATGAATCCTATTTCTTGCCTTCTCTCCAACATTTACTTCTAACCCTCACTAACCTGGCTTCAGTGCTTCAGAAATGTACCCTGCCCTTCTGCACAAGTCTCCCTGGAGACCTTACTTGAATGGCACTCTCTTCTCCCTGTCCATATGGCCCTAGCCCTGCAGGAAATCAGATGGCGCCAGGCCAGCCAAATCCCCTACTTTGACTTCCCTCTAGTGCAGAGGGATGGAAGTAACTACATGTGAAAAGCCTGGTATAAGACAGCACCTAGAAGCCTCACCAAAAAAAATTTTTTTTTTCTTTTTTGTTGAAAGTGTTGTTCTGTCGCCCTGTGTAGTGTGCTCTGGCACCAGTTTATCTCACAGCAACCTTAAACTCCTGGGCTCAAGCAATCCTGCCTTAGCATCTGGAGTAGCTGGGATGCCTGTCACTAAGCTAATTTTTCTATGTTTTAGTAGAAAAGGGTCTGCTCTTGCTGGCTCCAACTCCTGAGGTCAAGTCATCCTCCCACCTGCCCTCCCAGAGTGCTAAGATTACAGGTGTGAGCTACCGTGCCCTGTCCGCCTCAACAAATTTTGTTTTATTTTTACTTGTGTATTTATTGAAGATGGAGTCTGACTGTTGCGGGGTTGAGTGCCATGGTATTTTCACAGCTCGCAGCAACCTCATACTCCTGGGTTCAAGAGATCCTCCTGCCTTAGCTTCCACAGTAGCTGGGACTACAGGGGCTTGCCACAGCGCTGGGCTAATTTTTCTGTTTTTAGTAGAGACAGGGTCTCACTCTTGCAAAGGATGGTCTCAAACTCCTGAGCTCAAATAATCTACCCACCTCCACCTCCCAGAGTGCTAGGATTACAGGTTTGAACCACTGAACCTGGCCATCAAATTTTAAATTTTTATATATATACATACACAAATATGCATATTTGCCACATATAATATAAAATTACAAGGCTCCAGACCAAAAGCAACACAACGAAGATTCAGAAAAAACAAAGCAGCTCAGGTTCTAGAAGACGTTCTATGGCAGAAGGAAGAGGCCTGGGCAGTGGAGCAGTCGGCTCCCCAGCATGGGTGAGGTGGCCACCGTGACAGGTGGCCATCAGCTGTACAAGGGACAATTAGAGCTGCGCAGAGGTTCCTACCCTGGTGAGAGGGTCAGCTTTTGGAGCGTTGATCTCATGAAACTATTAGCACTGATCAGTAGGAAATCTGGGTGCTCTGATGGAGGAACTGAAATCCTTGCATGCTGTTATGTAAAAACAATCTAAAAACTTATCAAGCCATAGGGATTCAGTCACAAAATGGAAGAAGACGTCTCTGTTTGATGTTGAATAAAGGCACCGCTGGGATTCGAACCCAGGATCTCCTGTTTACTAGACAGGCGCTTTAACCAACTAAGCCACGGCGCCAAAGCTGAAGACAGGTACCCCAGAAAGACTCTACAAGAATACAACACTTGGATAAACCCGCTAGGTTTTGTGTCACTCATTTGTCCATGAAATTTCCCCAATATTGAAAGAAATAGATCTCAAAGCTAGCTAGAAGTGCATGGATAAGGAACTTTGTGGACTCTAGAATTCCTAGACATCGGGATTGGAGGCTGCCAACTGAATGTTTCTCACCTTGGAGAACAGAAATGCGGACGGTAGGTGCGGGGAAGAAAAGAAAAAGATAAAGGACGTAGTCGGCAGGATTCGAACCTGCGCGGGGAGACCCCAATGGATTTCTAGTCCATCGCCTTAACCACTCGGCCACGACTACCCGACTCTGACAGCTTCTTTCCTCGTAGGCCTTTCTTAGTTCCTATTTCCGGCAAACAGTTCCTTTCATTCTCTTCTCTGTTCCAGGACTACAAGAGCCAGGAGACCACACCGTGGGGACGCCAATGCAGAACAGAATCCTGTGGCTCACCATCCCACTCCACCCCTCCCTTTCTGAGATCTCCGTCCCTGATCGTCCTCGATTCTCCTATCGGCCTCCGTCAACGCGCTTTCAGGGAAAAGAAGACGCGGCGGTGGCCGCCGGGAACTTTTCCTTCGCCTCGGCCCAGCCACTCTTAAAGCCTCACAGGAAGGGGAGGGGGAAAAGATGGGTGGAGGGAGGTTAATTGGTGGGACCGCACCTATGGTGCATCTTACAAGGGTGAAATTTACTAAATGTAGAATATAAATGTCTCAACACAATAACTAAGAAAATGCCGTGAAGGCTATGTTAACCAGTTTGATGAAAATATTTCAAATTGTATATAAAACCAGCACATTGTACTCTATGATTGCACTGATACACACAGCTATGATTTAAAAAAAAAAAAAAAAAAAGAAGCTTCACAGATGCTGAGAAGCAGTAGGTGCAACTTCGGTTCGCGATTAGGAGACAACTGGCTTGGAGCGGGAACTTCAGGGTAACGAGGGTAAGGAATAGCAAAATAAAGGTAAGAAAAAGCAGTGGCCCGTACGGGGATCGAACCCGCGACCTTGGCGTTATTAGCACCACGCTCTAACCAACTGAGCTAACCGGCCAACTGTCAACTCGGTCCCTCCAAACCTCACATATGGTATTTCTAAAGCATGAGCACAGCATAAATTCCACATATTTGTGTTAAGACTAATCGTGATCCAAAGGTCTCCAGAACACAAACTGGAATAATCCCGAACAGCCAGCAAGAAACGCCCTCTATGCAGTTCTAGATGTGGTTTGGGTCACTCACTCCCACCTTAGTGAGCAGCCAGGAAAGAAATGAGGTGATACCAACCAAATGCATGCCCCCCCCCCCCAAATAATTACTACTGGATCCCCTAATTCTGTGGGTTGTAATTTAGGAGTTCCTGTCTGTCTCACAGCCTTAACCCTGACCCTCGGGAATCCCAGTGTTAACCCTTGACTGGAGCGCTATTGTACAGGCACCTACTTCCTCACATGTCCCGTCTAAGGTCCAGCATCCCCTTCATCTAGTACTTCCCACTTCCCAACAACTCTAGGCTCCCACATAAGATTTCTTGCTGCCAGACTGGCCTTCCTGAGACCATGACAGCCTGTTCTCTACCTTGTCATTCACTCCACAATTTATTCCCTTTAGGAACTAACTTTGGTATTATTTCTTCTGCAGGACGAGAAGCTCTTCTTCAAAATCACTTTCCACCTTTGGCCCTGGTGAGGGCTGAAATAATGGTGAACTGGCTAGCCACCAGAATTGAGGAGGCCTGGGCCCCTGGACATGAACATACAGGAGAAACTTCACCAGAGCTTTATTTACTGCAGGCCAAAAGGCCTGTCATCAGCACCTCCACAGGGTGAAAGTCGTGTTCCTCCAGCTCCTACCACAAAGGCAGAACTCAGGTGCTCAGGGTCACCTGTGAGTGCAGGTGCTTGACCCCAGAGAGGAAGTTAACAACAGCACAATGATTTGTTTCCACAATTTCTCCCAGGCAGACCCATGCCAGAATACCAAGGAGGAGCAATTACAGTGGGCAGCAGTTTGTGACTCCAGGGATCTCAAGTCACAGAGAAAGTAGGAGCTATGACAAAGGGGAAGAGCTGGGACCCAGGTCTCAGGTTTCCGGCAAGGCCAGAAGAACTTTCAGGCCATTCTTGTAGTTCAGGTTAAATAGGAGGAAGCAGAGACCCCCAGACAGCTAGGATGCTCTGACTCTTGTATAGAAAGGCAGGATAGTCTGAGCTGAGGATTCACATGAGTCAGGAGAGGGAGGTCTCCACACTGGAATCGCTGTAGCCGAGGAGGCTCTGAAATGGGAAGAGAGGAAAAATGTAAGTCCTAGGCATGTGGTTTTTAGTCCCCATTCACCATTATCCTCCCCAACTGCAGAGATCCCCTATAATCCCTCACCCTTCTTCCTGTCTGTTTGTATCACAATGACACCCCAACCTCCATCTCCACCCTTACCTAATGGGATAATCTTAGAGGGTTTCCTCTCAAGCTCAAAAGAAAGTACAATAGGGCGGAGGGCACAGGGGCTGGTACAAAGTGTCCAGAGGAAGAGGGTCAAGGGCTTGTCAATCTTGGCTGAGGACTAGAAAGGAAAACTCAGAATTAATCAGAACACAAAGTCCTAAACCTTTGCCAAAGCCCGAAGAATCTGGGTATCTGAGCCCCACTTCCCAGACATCTCACCTCAAGCTGGGCTCCAGGCCCTAAAAATTGCAAGGCCACTTTCCCTGGCACTTGGACAAACTCTAGGAGAGAGGTCCACTCACTAGGACTCAGTCCTAGTGCTGCTGCCACATGATGATTCCTACAGGTTACCACAGCTTCAGCTGTCCCATCCTCCACCAGGAGCCTGAAGGGAGGGCAGAGGAAATAAAAAGTCCCACAGCAACCCAGGTGACTGATCCCCTGAACCCACCATGCCTCCTTCCCCACTGTTTCCTCTATTTAGCTCACTCCACCTTCATTCATTCAAAAAATATCTATTATGCAATTCCTACAAGCCAGGAACTATGCTAATATAGATATAGCAGACAAATGAAGTAAATGGTACAATGGTGCTGCCCATGCTCTTACCTGATGCTGGCCTGGCTTACAGATGTTGGCGTAGGGCAAGTTGGGCCTTGACGAGTGCACCTCCCCTGGGATGAAGACAGTGGTTAGAAAAATCCTCTTGGTTTCATTACATTACTCTGTTGATCCACACCCAGCTCAGCCTCTCCCCTCCTTACCTGGGGGCAGATGCTGGTACAATGAGCACACACCCAGAAGAGCTGAAGGCTAAACACAGAAACAATATGGCAAGAAGCAGTGGCCTGGAATGGGGCCCTGCCACCCTGTAGAAGTTCAGCCAGGTAGACATGGGGCAGGAGAACACTAGAGACAAAGACAGACAGGAGTAAGAAATAGGCCAAGGATTCTGAAAGCAGAGTCTGGAAGGACTTAGCAGGCATTGGGATGGGCATGACAGTGCCTTCCATGCTCTCCTGAAAGCCCCATGGCACCCCCATTTTCATTCCTGATCTCTGATAGCCATCAATTACTTTTCAGACTTAAATACCAAGCCAAGAAATATTTGCATATTAGATTGAAAAGCGTTCTAAAGTCTAAAACTTTATTTGGGGGTAGAGGAAATCTGATTTAACAGATACTGCTAGGGTTGGGGAAGACTTATAGTGATGGCAAACAGAGCCAGGGCCATGTGGGGATGCAGATGTGAAGCCATGAGGTTTAGGGGTCAAGGCCCAAGGCACTGACCTGGTTGTAGTCTCCAGGGGAAAACTCAGGATCTGCACATAAGTGGATGACCGGAAACAACAGTAAACGTTATAGGATCTACAAGTAGAAGGAGCATAGTAATGAGGAGGAAAAAGAAGTCAAGTAGGGGTAGGAGCTGGCACTCAGAGATCATGGATCACATGTTGGCTGCCACCCTGAGGATGAACCTTGGCTGTGGCTCTACCAAAGCTGGGAGAAGACTAGAAGACTGGACTGCATGCAGCATCATCAGGGTAGTGGACACAAATGGCAGGCACACACATAGAAAGGTACATCAAAGAGAAGGTGTCCTTACAGCAAGATTAAGTGGGGTGAGTATTAAAAGAGAACCACAGGGAGAGGCAGCCAGGCCACACTACACAGACATGTACCTGGAAACTCTTTTCTCCAGCTGGTTAAAGTAGACCCGGGCTCCTGGAAGAAGTCCTAGTGAGGGAGGCAAGTATGGGTCTTCAATATAGATGTCCAGGTGAGGGGGGAATTCACAGTCAGCAGTAAGTAGGAGTACAGTTAGCCTCACACACTCTCGCATGGCCTTTGTGTTCCCTACAGAAGAAAGGAGTGGGAGTTAGTGGTATCTGTCAGGACCACAAGGTCACATCACTCTTATTTCACACCTTCCCCCCCAAAGGAGAGCTTGTTACCAGGCTTCGTCCAGGGAGGGGTCAGAAGGGGCTCACACAGTGTCCGTGACAAAATCTCAGCTGAGAAAGACACTAAGGAATCGGTGAAGCTGGAGGGTCAGAAAAATACACTGAGAATGGAAGCATAGCACAGACTAGAAAGATCAAAAGACAGAAAAAGGAGCTAAATATCTGCTAAAATTTCATATATAAAGTCATGGGAGACTGAGCTCTGCCAAATCAAAAAATAACAGGGCTTATGAGGAAAATAAAAATTGTGGCAGATCATTTAAAACCTATACCACTTTGGGGCAGCACCTGTGGCTCAGTGAGTAGGGTGCCGGCCCCATATACCAAAGGGTGGCAGGTTCAAACCTGGCCCTGGCCAAACTGCAACAAAAAAATAGCGGAGTGTTGTGGCGGGCACCTGTGGTCCCAGCTTCTCGGGAGGCTGAGGCAAGAGAATCAATCGCCTAAGCCCAAGAGCTGGAGGTTGCTGTGAGCTGTGACACCACAACACTCTACTGAGGGCAACAAAGTGAGACTCTGTCTCTAAAAAAGACAAAACCTATATCAATTTATAACCAGAGGCCTTACTGGCAGAGGTAAATCTCCATCTAGAACATCAGCCCACCACTTACAGGCTTATACCTTGGGGGTTCGTGCTCACTCTGTTGCCCTTGGTAGAATGTCATGGTATCATTGCTCAAAGTTAACCTCAAACTCTCAGGCTCAAGTGATCCTCTTGCCTCAGCCTCCTAAGCAGCTAAGACTACAGCTACCTACCATGATACCTGGCTAGTAACAGGTTCTTGTTCTTGCTCAGGCTGGTTTCCAGCTCCTGATTATAGGATTACAGGTGTAAGCCACCACACCTGGCCAGCTTCTTCATTTATACATGTGACTACCCTTACATGAGGAAAGTATAGTTGTTCCCAAGGCCATGCCAGCTACTTCTTGTGCTTTTTTGAGATTTTCAGCTTTTTAATTATATTTTCTTATGTTTCTCTTATTTCCTTTTACTGCTAAGGCTTTTCCTTAATTGTGAAAAGCTTGCTTGTTATAATTTCAAAAAAATCACATGCTAGGAGGCTCTGTGCCTGTAGCTCAGCAGAGGGCACGAGCCACATACACTGGGGCTGGCAGGTTCAAACCCAGCCTGGGCCTGCCAAACAATGACAACTACAATAAAAAAGTAGCCAGGCATTGTGGGGGGCACCTGTAGTCCCAGCTACTCAGGAGGCTGAGGCAAGAGAATCACTTAAGCCTAAGAGTTTGAGATTGCTGTGAGCTATGACATCACAATTTTTAAAATTAAAAATTTTAAAAAGAAACACACGCTAGAACAGAAAACAGAACACACACAGCTAACTTGGTAGGGAAAAGAGTAGCCACATTAACCAGAAGGGCTGATGGACATTTACTTGCTACTGAGTAGGTCAGTCAGTGAGGACTCAGGCAGTGCCTTGTTTGTACTCAGAACACCTGGAATATCCTGAGAGTTCTCAAGCTCCAGGGTCCACTCATCCTGGACAGTGATGCAAGATACACAGCCAGCCAACTCCAAAGGACGCTGAGACACGCAAGATGAACTGTCTTTCTCGAACAACATTGATGTCTGCTGGGAAATGGGAAGATGACTGCTTCTGAGTGTATCCTAGCCCAGGAGGAGGTTCATAAAATACTTTGACCCAATCTTGTTTTCTTTCTGGAGCCTACAGAAGGAAGTTATCTCAAGCCTTCTAGCTCAAGGCTTCTCACAGACAAGCCTTCTAGCTTTATCTAAATCCAGCCTTCTTGCAGGAGACCTAACGAGTGACCAGGTACTGGTGCAACCCTCCAGATCCCAACCCATAAAGCCTTCTGGAGAGGGGTGTGATGAAGCAGCACACTCACAGGGGGGCCAGGAGCCACAAGTCGATACACATGCCCTGGGTGCAGGAACTCAAACCAGCGGACTGAAGAGCCATGGAAGATAAGGAGAACCTGTGTAAAAGAGCACAGGTTGCTGGGGTCCCAGCCAGAGGCTCGGGGCACAGAAGATCAGGTCCTAGGTCCTTCAAGTCCCTGTTTACCTTCTTATCCTTGTCCTCACTTCTCTGAGGCTCGGCTGGGCCCCATCCAGTCCCTTCCTTCCTCTGTGAACCTCCAAGCCAGCTCCCTGACACATGGAAACAGAGTGTGGGCTTGGGAACCTCTGAACAGGCTCCTGGGAGGACACAAAAATTCCGTTTCATGAGGGCCTCTTTGTGGGACAGCAAGAACAGTCGGCTCTGTTCTTCGTAGGGTCTGCGTGGGCAGGTGGGATCTGTCTGAGGTGTTGAGCGAGTGGCTGAATGAAGGAAGGATCTGGGTATAGGTAGGATTAGGGCATCCTCCAGAAAGAACTGGACATAGATCCTGTTGGGAAGGAGAAGGAATAGATTGCTTAGTGATGCACGCATAGGGTGTTTTAGGCCCCAGCATCCCACCACCTGCACCAGGGCCTTCCTACCCCTCATACTCAGGAGCATAACCACTACCCCAAGGAACTGACCTGGCCTGCTGCTTCTGGATGAAGTCTGGCATGCTCAGCTCCCTCCAGGACGGGAAGTTACTTATGACAGTCCTCTCTATGACCAACCGAAACCTCTCTGCCCGCACCAGACAGCCTAGAGAAAGAACATTTTCTATTTTGGTAAGAAAAAACATCTGTGGGGTGTGTAGTGAAGCAGACCATACCTCAGGTTTCCCACACCAGAGCTGCTCCCTAACTACTGTCCACATTTGACCCCCACCTTAGAAGGGTGACACCTCCAAGGTGAAACCATTTCATCCTCATGTCCAATCTCACCCTGGCCACCTAGGCTGAAAGGCCTGGATTATACTTTCTCATAAGTCCCTGAAATGCCTGTTTCTAAATCTAAGAATTGTTCCTCTCTAGGCTTTTTCTGTCTATAAAACTCAAAACTCAAATAAGACCATTATTCTTCTAAGAAGGTAGGAAAAAGGAAGATAAGGCCTGCCATATCACTTTCCTAAAGTTCTCCCAAGAGTTATTGGTCAACATGTGTCACTTCAGTATCTTTGATACATCCCAGCAGATGCTTCTTCCCAAGCTCCCCCACTTCCGAGAACCACTCCCCACCACCATCTTCTTTGCACACCTGAACACCATACCTATGAGCCATGGGTCAGTGAGGGGCTGTGAGTTCTTGGCCAGGAGCAGGCAGGGCAGGGAACCACTTTGGTCCCTAAGTTGCAGACAACCTTTACGAGATGAAGCCACCAGAACCCCAAGTAAAACCTGCAGGAAGATGAAGGCCAATGTATCAAATATTTGTTAAACAAATACAGAGAGCATCAGGGAGATGCCTGTGGCTCAAAGGAATAGGGCGCCAGCCCCAAATGCCAGAGGTGGCAGGTTCAAACCCAGCCCTGGCCAAAAACTGCAAAAAAGAAAAACACAAAAAGAAAACAAATACAGAGCATCAACCATGTGCTGGGCACTGTTTTAAATGGCAGAGCTACAAAGTGGACAAAAAAAGATATGGTCTCTCACCTCAAATAACTTATACTCAAGTGGGGAAGACAGATATGAAAAAAACATATATGGTGGCACCCGTAGCTCAGTGGGTAGGGTGCCAGCCACATACACCGGGGCTGGCAGGTTCGAACCCAACCCGGGCCAGCTAAGACAACAATGACAACTGCAACATAAAAATAACCAGGCGTTGTGGTGAGCACCTGTAGTTTCAGCTACTTGGGAGGCGGAGGCAAGAGAATTGCTTAAGCTAAGGTGACCAGATGGCCCACTTTTGGCAGGACAGTCCCGATTTTTAACAATTTGTCCCATGTCCTGCAGCGTTTTTAAAAAGTCCGATTTTTGGAAAGAATGCATGACAAGCTAGGGAACACTGGAGAACAGGAAGGGAATATA